GGCATTGCTGGCATTTGTTGGGGCCGACGGATTCGATTTGTGGGAAGTATCTGGAAATCGAGTCCAAAGGTGTGGTCACCACAGATACCATGGTCCGTCAGCTTATAAGTTTGGAGGGAGGTGGGGGTGGTAGATCGATGATACGCATGTTCAGTACCAGTTGAGCCGCCAGTACAGAGGTAGTCCAAGTGCCACGTATTACGCAGAGTAGTCTCAATCGTTTTCATACGTAGTCCGTGATTTGTAGATGCGTGGCCATACTTCCGGGCTTTGAAATTGAAATCTCCCCACACGACATCTGGTTGGAAACCGCCAATCTCGGGGGGATTCATGTATCGCCTGACGTCTTCTTCAGTAAGCGATTTGAGTGGAAAGTAGAACACGGCCATATGAACGCCAAAGCACACAAAGAACACCGCGTACGGTGAAGAGTGTACCAGTTGAAAATTCAATGGGTGGTGTTTGGAAAAGATACCAATACCACAGTGTGAAAGGTGTAAGATATTATGCCGTATAGTGTGATGTAGTATATGATAGCGTGTGTTCGAGCGTATATATTTAAGAAATGTGGTGTTATGTCAGGTTTCAACCACACACATAACATCAACCTGACTTAAAATCGATATAACGTTCAAAAACTTTTTGTGGGTTGAAGAGCGTTATCCTCATTGGTCCTAACATTGTTCAGTATCGGTCAATACTACTGGGCTCTCCTCTTTGACGATGTCAGCCATTTCTATATCATTGCCTGTTGTCGAAGAGTCTGTCGTGGAAAGCTGAGGCTACATATTGCTATCCATCGTGTCGGATGATTGTGTCAGGGAGGATGTTGTTATATGAAGTCGTCCGGTTTCCGCACTCTTTAGCTTTTACCGGGATTCGCGGGTTAAGTGACAAGAGGTTTGCATCATGCTTTGCTTGGTAAGCCTTCTGGAGACGGTCCGCGGTAGATTGGAGGATGTCTGCGTTAGTGGAGTTGACAAGTGGGCTCAGTAGTGCATCCATGCTGCGGGCAAGTATTTTTGGCGCTCGTTCATGTGTGTAGCGGGCCTCCCGCTTGGTGTGGAGATAGTGAATTAAAGCTGCTTTCGTAGCGTCGGGATGTTTTTGGGAGCGGGGGTCGATGTTTTCATCAAGCTGCCATTTCCACGTAAGTGCTGCATGTCGTTTCACCTGGGCGACAGAGTCGCTAAGAACACAAAGGCGGATGAAACTGGTGGAGCTTCCGCGGCGATTTGGTTGAGATACCGATTTAATGGAAGATACCAGAGAAAGTGGTGGCGATTGAGGGCTGGTTGGGCATGCCAGTATTTTTCAAATACTGATTGGGATGGGGGCTTGCCGTTAGGGAAAATTGCTCGGAAGAAGAGCCATACCGGAGTTATGTCATCCATTTCTTGAAGAGTTTTGTCCGGCATCGGGCGGCCCACCACTTTCGTCAAAAGGTGTTCGGGTACTGGCGGCTGCGATTGGGACTGAGAAGCTGGTAGGGTCGGGCGTTTTTTAGGGCTCGGTTTTGCAGGTTTGTCCACTTTTGAGCGGTAGCTGGGAGGCTCACTGCTGCTATTGGTCGCCTGTGACCACGGTCTTTTTGCTGGCGGAGCAGGTGGGCTTGTGGAGCAAAATCGGAAAGTGTCGGGTGTGTCTTCATCTATAGGAGCACGGGTTTGGGATTTAAGGTCCCGGAGTTCGGATTCAAGGTTGGTTGTTTTTGCACAGAGGTTAGTGAGCATTTGGTGCATAGTTGATTTCCATTGGTCATCAGTCAAAGTCTCCTTGGAGATGGGCCCATCATTGTTCGGGGTTGTTAGAGCCGGTCCCAAAATTTGATTGAGATTGGCCTGTAGAGTACTGACCTGGGCAGAGAGGTTTGTGATAGATTTTTGTATGTCCAATTTCCAATGGGCATTGGGTAAGGAGTCGTTGGAGACGAACGTCTTAATTGGGGATTCGGCCTGGCCCGACATTTTTCGCGGAGGTGGGACTGTGGGTCCCCAGACTCCCTACTGGATAAAAAAAAATATAGATATATATAATTATTTTTTTTGATTGAAAATCCAAATTTCAAGTCAACGTTTTGGTGGGGTCTGTGGGGTTTTTTTAAAGTAGTATTCAGTTCTACACTGGTGACCTACTGGTGACCGAGATTTACGTTTCGGAGGCGAAAATTTGAATCAAAGGTCCGTCGTGAAAAATAAATATGGGGAAGTACGAAATATATTGTTTACCTGCCTGGGTCTCAAAAAATGTATTTTTTTATATTCAAAAAAGCATAGCCCCGGTTTTGTCCGAGAATGCTAAGCCGTGGCGGCGTGGCGGGATAGACCGATAGAGAGGGGAGGATTCCAAATTTCCAGTGCTCCAGCGACCAGCAGTCCAGCGGTCCAGGACTCCAGGATCAGCGCTCATGAGTCATGAGTCGTGTAGCTCAGAGGTAGACAGCAACGTCAGCAGTCCAGACTTCAAGACTTGAGACTCCAGTCTCCAGAGTCTAGACTCCAGAGTCTAGAACTCCAGGCTCCAGGCTCCAGGCTCCAGGCTCCAGGCTCCAGACTCCAGACTCCAGTGTCCAGACTCTCTATGTACGATTACTATCGCTACGTAGAGAGTCCAGAGTCCAGAGTCTAGCCTCCACACAGGGCAGTTAGCACTGAGGTCTGAGGGTTCAGGGCAGTCCAGATCCACCCAAAATCCTTTTCAAAAAGAGTCACTTCTGCGAGAATAAACGGCATTTTTACTCCCATACAAATGACCCAGAGGGCCAGGCCGCATTCCAGAGTGGGCACTGGACAACCCTTGGAAAATCCGGTATAGAACATTATAACCAATCAGCGGGTAGAGAAATTTAGACCAGGTAGTTTTAAAAAAAGACAATCTTTTGTTGGATGAACTTTCGTTAGTTTCGTAGCTATTTAGCTTATTATTTCAAAAGTTAGCTCATTCATGATAAAGTTGAAGCCTATAGTCCGAAATCGAGTCGATTTGGACAAAAAAAATCTATAAATCACCAAATTGAAGTCAAAATAAAGCAAATTCGACTCCATTTTTTTCTTTCCAAAACAGTAATGCCAGAAATCCTTCACTGCTACCGTTCACACAAGAATTTACAATTTCTAAATACTTGTGTGAAGCCAAGGTACCGACCGAACCGACGTGCTTGAGTTGGGACTAAAGCCCCTCTTTCGATTGGTAAGATATCTTATCTTGCTCAGTCAATTACATATCTTGTTCAATCAATTACCAAGTGTTCGAATTGGGATTAAAGTCCCTCTTTCGATTGGTAAGATATCTTGTCTTGTTCAACCAATTACCGGATTAAGTTCATCGTTCTCTATGATTAGATTGGTAATAGGAAATTCACAAAAATAATTTGTTATTATATATACGTCCGTATTACTCTAGGAGTCCAGGGGAGTCCACACTCCACTGTCCAGGCCTTTTAAAAAAACAAAGCCCTCCAGGCGCCTAGGCGTGTAAATAGCTAAATATAAATATTTACAGTGGGTCTTGTTTATATATATAAAATTAAACTGATTTCATTTAGATCTTTTGGTTTTTTACTATTAAATATTTTTTAAAAACAATAAAAAGTAGAATTACTTTAGAAGGCTATGCGTTTTCGCATTTCTATTTTTACCTCAGAATGTTTGTGTGATGACGTGATTTTTGGGTTTAGTCAAACCCTGCCCTGGTACCTGGAGTCTGGACTGTAGTCTGGACTGTAGTCTGGACTGTAGTCTGGACTCTAGGTCTCTGGGTCTCCCACTCTACCACCTCCGTAAGCTCTGGCCTCTTCATAGTCAAGAGCATTACACAAGAGAGAGATCACGTAGAGCTCCCTCAACCCTCAGGGAGTCAGGGCTGAGGCCTGAGGCCGAGGCCTGATGGCCTTAATCCCCTAAACCGGTAGGTCAGTTTCCCTTTATGTAGCCCCTCTCTCTACTAGCTTCCAGGCTCCAGGCTCCGCTGCAGTATTTTTTTTGGCCAAGTCAGGGACTTCAGGAGTCCAGGGCTACTAGCCCCCTGACTGGGCTTAGTATGTTGGGACTCCCCTGCGAGTCTGGGTCTCTCTGGGAGTCAAGCTGCGGTTATGGGGGTACATGCCAAATAGAAGTTAAACGTAAACGCATAAATATATTTAATTTTAAACATTAAAACGTTTATAAAGCGATCAGAAGGTAGGCGAGTATGTACGTAGATTTTAAAATATATTGTAGATTACAGACTTTTAGGCCGGTTTTGCTAACTTTGAAAAATATAGGGAAATAAATTTTGAGATGAGTAAAACATGTTACTCCGGTAGCTAATTTCAGTATTTCTTAGCACATTTGGATTTTTGGTCAAGATTTCGGAATATTCAGAAAATATTGAGGATCGATTTCCATACTTTTTCAGCACAATTATTTTGGAAATCGGATGTACTGTCGGTTTTGGCTTCATCAAATTCTGCTATTCGAGACGTAAAAAATACAACACAATATTTCGTTTTGTTGTATATTTCCTTCAAAGTCAAAAAGAGGGTAGGCCCTCTTTTTGCTTTGGGAAAGAATTTGTTTGTAGTGATTTATCAGATTAATTCTCACTCACATTACTCGTTAACATCCAAAACTCTGGCTCTGGTTAATATACGTGGATCAAAACGCTGTCTTCAATTTTTCGGCTCCAGAACAGAATTTCTTGTGTGTCTGGGCTCTGCGCATTTGCCAAGTCGTAAAAAGGAACTGCTATACGAATATTCGACAATATTTCAAATACAACTGGCAGCATATTTTGAAATTGTGTGGGAATATACAGTTCCAAAATTTCTCAAGAATATACCAAAATATACCTCTATATTTTTTAGGGCTGTATTTTCTCTATGTTTTCCAAAGTTAGCAAACTTAAAATTTTAGACCCACAAAATGCAAATAGAATCTTAGACTACTGGGAGACTAGAGCGGACTCTTGTAGGACTCTAGGACTCTGGGACCTCTCTAGAGCTTCCTCTAAAGGGGGGCAGCTCATTTCATTGGCAGGAGACAGGGACTCAGGGTCCCAGAGAATCTCGACTTTTGAGAGAGATAAATACCCCCCACCAGACTCCAGAGTCCAGAGTCAGCACTCAGCAGTCGGACGTTAACTCGCTTAAGTCCAGCCCGGCCAAGGCTCCAGCCTCCAAGGCTCCAAGAGTCCAGGCCCCCAGACCCCAGGGGTAGCCCGGGACCCGCTTTTAGGGCCCAAGCTCCTAGAGGGCCTAGAGCCAGCGTTCTCGAACTTCGAAGTCGGGACTGTTCCATTCCAATTGCGTGTAAAACACAAAACTGTGCAGTTTTCATAATGGAATATTCGAAAAGTAGCGAGGCGGAGTAAATATTTACAAACTCTCCAATGTCTCCATACAATTTTTGGTCTTTTTTGGAATTTATATAAAAAATATGCAAAAAAAAAGGTGAAATCAAGTGAAATTATGAAGGAAAAAACCCTAAAACCCTAAAACTCAGATCAGTCAACTAAACTCATGAGAAGTCCCAAGACCCCAAGTTCCCAACTCCCAACTCCCAAGAAGTCCCAACAATAAGAAGAGTTGAGTCACGACTTACGAGCGTTGAGACTGGAGACTTGTGAGTTGTGAGTGGAACGAGTGCTATATAATATATTTATAGAGCGTTGATTGGTCAGACAGGAAGGCCGCGAGATTGAGTGACGCACTGCCACTATTTACAGCTGAGCTCACAGCCTCACACTTTACAGTGATTCACACTCACGTCTCGCAGCATATTTTATTTTATTATTTACTTCTTGTGCTTGATTTTTCTTGTTGATTGTCTTTTGTTATATATTTATTATTATTTTTGGCTAAAGCATAGCCGCCTTCTGGATTAGGCACTTTCAAAGTAAAAATAGAAGAAGGCTGTGCAGATTGCAGTATGCAGTTTTTATATATAGAAAAAAGGTACCAGGGCGCAGGCCGCAGGCCGCAGGCCGCAGTGCGAAGGGTCAAGGACTCAAGGGACAGCAGGTTCTGGTACTACTAGTAGAGTGGGTCTGACATTTGACAGTCTGACATATGACAGTCTGAGTGTCTGTCGCTCCGAGTCTCTGACTCTGAACTTCTGAAGTCTGCAGTCTACAGTCTGCAGTCTGCACTCTGAAGTCTATTTTTGTATTTTGATGTTTGATGTTGTGCTTTTGTATCTTGTTTTAAGAAATTAAAAAACACGAACTCTTTGTTCTTGTTGTCTTTATATTTTTTTTACTCTAGTTATGATTATTCCAAAAAATGTGAGACTGACTGGACACTGATGACAGTCTATCTGACTGATATTAGATATAAGCACACGACTGCCACACAGCCATACGCCATACGCACACAGTGACACAGCCACACTGCCCACAGCCCCACACACAGTCACGACACACTCTGTGACACGCAGTCATCTCACACACAACAAGAAGAGAAGAGAGAGGAGACAGAGAGCCTGGAAACAGTGGAAAGACGTCTGACAGACATTGTCAGACTGTTAGAAACAGTGTAGAGTTTTGACACTTGTCAACTTTACAATTACAATAATTACTCACAAAACTGATGACACAGGGGAGAGTGATCAGTATTCAGTAAACCTGAAGTTCTGACAACCTCTCGTTTGTATAATATTTAGAAATATTTACAACAAAATACAACACCTCTTGCTCAATGATCACATTCATCAGATTGTTCGTTCTATAAATATGTAGCATTTGAACCTATTAATATTATGTATTATCAAACATGATAGATGTCCAATAAATATCGAGGAAACTAGAAAGTAGAACTAGAAAGCTATGCGGCCCGGGTGTTGATATGATTTTTGAAGATCAGAACAAGATTCTACTCGCCCGTACGAACAAAAAACAATATCACGGGATAGCTTTCAAAAGAAGTTTGTATCAACTATCACAAGTATTTAAATATTTTCGAATATGTATCAACTTTGCAATCAGAAAATCAGAAGGCTCAGAAGCTGACGCTGAACTGCTGAACTGCTGAACTGCTGAACTGCTGAACTGCTGAACTGCTGAACTGCAGAAGCCTTGTGGCTGGGGCCTAATATATACTAGAAGTTAAAATCAGAACTCGTTCCCGGCTTCCCAATTCCCGCAGACTTTACTCCATCTATAACACTGAACAGTGAACAGTGAACAGTGAACACTCTCACTCTGGTATATATTTATTTTACTATGTACTTTTTTTTAAACATTATTTAGCGGATAGCCTGAGACCCTGAGGCCTGAGCCCTGGGGCTATGGGTAAATAGCGCTACCAATAAATACTATGTAGTAAATTTTTCTATTAATTGCAGGATGTAGGGCCGGGTCAGGATGTATTTATTTATGTACATATATATTTACATATGCCACTGTAGGCCTGGCCCTGTAGCTGCTATTTGTTTTTAAAATACAATAGAAATAAAACAAAAGCAGCAGAAGAGTCTAGAGTAAATATACTTGTTTTTTGTTTTTAAAAAAGAAAAAAATAGAAAAAAGAGACTACTTTAGAGAGGGAGAGACCCAGACACCCAGCTCCGGGAAGCTGAGAACCAGCGGCGGGCAACGCCCCAGGCCCACCAGGGCCCAGGGCCGTCCTGGGGTAAACCATTTGTAAATATGTTGCTCGTAAATTGTAAAAAATCAGAATGACAACAGTCCGCGAATGTGTAATATATTATATATATGCAAGGCTGCATCTGCATTCCGACACAAATCACGAATTCACAACTGACTTATAAAATTAACTAAATTTTAATAGAAATTAAAATGGTTCCACTATGCTGTGTACTTTGTCTTGGGTCTGGCTGCGGCCCTTGTAACTTTAAGGGCGTCAAGCAGCTGAACGCGAAATCTTCATTCCGAAAACGAAGGGGTGGATGTGCACCAAAGTATGTTTGTACTGCGCCACCATCGGCCATTGTCCAGCCTACAATAGCTCCTCAAGACAATTCACAGATTCCAGTGCAGCGCGAAAAGTCTTGCACCTCTGTTTCTGGAGATTGTGACGTAGTTGATGCTACTCGAAGGTTATATGCGAGATCATCGATATCTTCGATGACGTCGTCGTCATCAGCGAACGAAGATCTATCTCCCATTGTCAAGCGACGAGCATCTGGGATGCGTGGATCGTTTTCTTTTGGAGTTTTCAAATCTTGAAGTGTTGAAATGTCGAACATTACACATTGTATGCGATTTTACTAGAGATTGGGCCTCGAGTTAAAATGTATATATGCTCGCAACCTTCCGAGGAGAGTCTACTGCAGTTGCATTGCGAGTAGTTTAAAGTTTGTTGGCCATCACACAAGCCAGGGTGAAACGCTGCAAGCTGTGCAGAACTCCTTTTCGCGCAGATTTTCTAGCTGGAGTAACGTACAAGAACGTTAGTTTCTATCAATTTATGACGTTAGGTGCCGGCGATGATTAGTCGAGTGTATATGCCGAGGAGCCGACAACTACCGCCCAGCCTTCTGGTTTCACTTCTGCACTCGTCTGGTGCTCTGATGTCACGCAAGAAGCATACCACAGACTCCCTTCACGACAAGAAGAAGGATATAATGATGCAACATAACCTAAACTGAATAATTTTGGGCAGGTAGTCAAATACGGACGCACGCCTGTTAGTTTCTATCAGAAGTGCCCCAAGTTGTGAGTAAAGAATAGTAACATGTAGCTAAGTAATAAAAAGTTCTAAGCAGCAAACCAATTAGGCTTTTTTTCCCGAGAGGTACATATTCTATACGAGTCTTGATGATAGTAGTATATATTATGTCGGTCTTGAAGAGTAGTACATATTATGCTCAAGTTTTGGCGAGTAGTATATGTTATGCTTAAGTCTTAACGAGAAGTACATGTTGTATACAAGTGTTGACGAGTAGAACTTATTATACTTAAGCCTCGACGAGAAGTATATGTTCTGTAGAAGTCTTGACGAGTAGTACATGTTATGTTCAAGTCTGGACAGGCAGTTCATGTTATGTACAAGTCCAGGCGAGTAGTGTATGTTATGTACAAGTATTGACGAGTAGTGCATGTTATAGAATCCTTAAATGAATCATATATACAGGAGGGAGTGAGAGCACAATCACAAATACCTGTGCTATAGAATACAAGTTAAGTCACACGCGTGTATTTGCGTGAATTTTACTACGAGATATAGGAACGCGTATACACAGCACGAGTTCGGAGACACGATATTTTTTTGCATAGATGGATAGTCAAATAATTTTTTTCGCACCCAGAACACGCACCCAGCAATTGTTATGAGAAATGATCACTGCTATGTATGTGACACATCTTCCACTACACGCATTTAAAAGCACGCCAATAGACTACACAAATAAAAATTCCACTGTGAACGAGAAGAACATTAGATGTGAAAATAATATGTACCGGTCGGGTGGGTTTGTGATTCTCACGTACCTTTGAGAACACTAACCACGTACAACGGAAATGAATGCGAAACACAGAAGTATACACCTGTAAATACATACCAACAGACATCGAAATATAGGTTTCTGTTTACATTTCTCTGTGTTTACTTACGTGAACAATTCGAAAAGTTGTTCCCACACATACAATAGGTTGTTTAAATAATTACGCGATTATACCGCATTGTCTCATGAATTTGCACCCACGCAAGCATGGAGTGAGGTTCGACATATTCGATACCATCTCACATACTCCGAGACACAGATAATAACGTCTTGGTTTGTGAGGCTTCTGACGGTGTAGTCCACTCTTTAGGGGCAATACAGTGTTATGGCGGACATGCCCTATATGTCAACAATACATAAAGTAGTGCGTCTGCCGCACGGTAAATTTGAAACCTCCTTGAGTTTAAATTTTTTATGCAGCTACATATCACGCTTTCAAATATGAGATGTGCAAGTGTTCGATACCCCTCAAACGTTTCCAACACAGCAAAATTTATTGTATGCGTTCAAGTGATGGTCATCTCGTGTAACGAAATGATCCTGCTAACAAGGCGAGGGGTGCAGAGACGTTCGTGTACGCAGATCATTCGCACGCATATATGGCCAATCGATTATGATGAGATGTTCAAATCCGTAAATAAATTTTGTGTTACACAGACACACAGTGCCGCACTTCCAAGTATGTACCGTACGCCTATATTGTTCGGGTACAGCTGTTTATATTGATTGGCAATTGTTCTACGAGCTAAGATTAATATCTGTACATCAACTCTCTCGCTTTATTTACTGACAGATGTCATGACATATGACAACTAGCACTTCACGCAGCAACGAAG